GGTGGAGGTCTGGTAGTTGGGTAGGTTGGGGGGGGGAGATGGGTAGGTTTAGGGTGGAGCTCTGGGAGATGGGTAGGTTTAGGGGTGGAGCTCTGGTAGATGGGTAGGTTTAGGGTGGAGCTCTGGGAGATGGGTAAGTTTAGGGGTGGGGCTCTGAGAGATGGGTAGGTTTAGGGGTGGAGCTCTGGGAGAGGGGTAGGTTTAGAGGTGGAGATGGGTGGGTTTAGGGGTGGAGCTCTGGGAGATGGGTAGGTTTAGTGGTGGAGCTCTGGGAGATGGGTAGGTTTAGGGGTGGAGCTCTGGGAGTTGGGTAGGTTTAGGGTGGAAACGGGTAGGTTTAGGTATAAGTAAGGTGGGAGGAGTTGGATCGGGATGTTGTGTTCTGCAGTGAGGACCATCTCCTAAAATACACTAGTGCAAAGTTTATTCCTATTTGGCTGTGCTAAATTTGAACTGAAATCACTTAAGTGAAACAAAACATTTTCCATTAACTAATATTATTAACACTCATTTACATTCATTTATAATCATTAAGAATAATTAGACGGTGCCCAAAACATCTAATATACATTCATATTATTTAAAGTTCAATGCCATTTAAAACTATTCTAAATTATTATTAATCACGGAGGGCCGTTATTATAAAGTGTCATAACTGCTTTTACTGACATTTATATCACCACCATGAATCATATTAATCTTCTTCTGTTTCGCAGAGGAACATAATCAAATGGAATGGTGGAAAGACAAATAAAATTTTATTATCTTCCACTCAGCTATTATAGCGTGTAATATTTCCATGACTTGAGCTGACAGCAATATTAAAGTATGCCAGTTATTAATCCAAGCTGAAAAATTAATTCCAATACAGCCTCTGCATTATTCGTTTCTCATTCAGCGAGCGACGGCATACAGACATTTAGAGGAATATAGGAGCTCCTGCTGATGTCTCGGGACTCACCCCTTTACAGATGGACACTGCCTCTTTAGACAGGGATTTGGGGTAGGACACATTGTGCTCCATTATGGACTGAAAGAGCTCATCCTCATCCTCGCCATCAAATGGAGGCTGTTAGAAACAGAGCAGATGCTGGTTTATATTAAACATACATAGAATATAATTATGTACAATGCCGTTCAAAAGTGTGTGATCAGTACGTTTGATCATAAGTCTCTTCTGCTCATCAAGGTTGCATTTATTTGACCAAAAATACAGAATAAAACAGTAATATTGTGAAATATTGTTACAATTTAATATAATGTTTTTCTACTCTAATATACTTAAAATATAATTTATTCCTATGATCAAAGCTGAATTTTCACCATGCTTACTCCAGTCTTCAGTGTCAAGTGATCCATTAGCAACCATTCTAATATGCAGATTTATTATCAATGCTGAAAGTAGTTTTGCTGCTTAATTATTATTTTTTTTCGGACCTGTGATACTTTTTTTTTTATATAGGATTCTTTGAGGAATAAATAGCAAAAAAAATAAAAAAAAAAATATATATATAGCATTTATTTAAAATAGTAAAAACTTACTTTGTTAAAAATTATATTACTTTTCATCAATTTAACACATCCTTGCTAAATAAAGGAATTAATTTCTTTAAAAAAAGAGAAAGAAAAAAATTACTTGCAGACAGTTATTAGGAAACACCCACTGCATACTCAATACTTCAGGGTTTCTAAAAAGGAGCTATACACATTTCTGTCATGATTCCTGAAAATTTTTTTTGCTAAATTTTACACTTTTCACTTTTTTTTTTTAAACACTGTATCCTCAGCTTGCTAAATAAAGGAATTAATTTCTTTAAAAAAAGAGAAAGAAAAAAATTACTTGCAGACAGTTAGTAGGAAACACCCACTGCATACTCAATACTTCAGGGTTTCTAAAAAGGAGCTATACACATTTCTGTCATGATTCCTGAAAAAATTTTTGCTAAATTTTACACTTTTCACTTTTTTTTTTTAAACACTGTATCCTCAGAGCAGTGGGATGATATATTACATAACCAGGAATCATTCCAGGATGGGGGTGTCCAAGTCAAAATCATCCAAAGGGAAACACATGAAGTGTATAACAAGATTCTTCTGTTGGGTAATTGGATCCGCGAGTCAGCGGGAGAAAGCCGAGATGTAAATGACGTAACCTTGGTAACCGTTCTGGCGGAAAGTATTGACGACACAGGAAGTGTGTTTCACACTGAGGTCTGGGCTGCACTCTGTATAAATGAACCTCACTGAGCTCAACAGAGAATATTCCGAAATGCACAAATAACTCAGTTTATTACGTCAACGCATGTGAATAAAATGTCTGTGAGTATTTGTGTATAAAACCAGTGCTGCAAGTACAAACATTTGTTGGTGTTTTTGCAGAGTACCACTGCTACATTATAAAAGTGAAATAAGATAATAAAATATAAGATATTATACAAAATATATTGATCACACTTTAGTTTGAGGACCAATTCTCATTATTGACTAACTATGACTTTTGCCTCAGTAAATGCCTACTTTAATTAATAATTTTATTTAAAAGTGCTGTCAATCAATTAATCGTGATTAATCGCATCCAAAATAAGTTTTTGTTTACATAATATACTGTATGTGTGTGTACTGTGTATATTTATTATGTATATATAAATACACACACATGCATGTATATATTTAAGAAAAATATGTAATGTTTATATATGAAATATATTTATATATGATATAAATTATATGAATATAAATATATACATGTTAAATATTTTCAAAATATATGCTGTTCCGAAATGCACAAATAACTCAGTTTATTACGTCAACGCATGTGAATAAAATGTCTGTGAGTATTTGTGTATAAAACCAGTGCTGCAAGTACAAACATTTGTTGGTGTTTTTGCAGAGTACCACTGCTACATTATAAAAGTGAAATAAGATAATAAAATATAAGATATTATACAAAATATATTGATCACAATTTAGTTTGAGGACCAATTCTCATTATTGACTAACTACGACTTTTGCCTCAGTAAATGCCTACTTTAATTAATAATTTTATTTAAAAGTGCTGTCAATCAATTAATCGTGATTAATCGCATCCAAAATAAGTTTTTGTTTACATAATATACTGTATGTGTGTGTACTGTGTATATTTATTATGTATATATAAATACACACACATGCATGTATATATTTAAGAAAAATATGTAATGTTTATATATGAAATATATTTATATATGATATAAATTATATGAATATAAATATATACATGTTAAATATTTTCAAAATATATGCTGTATGTGTGTGTATTTATATATACATAATACTATACACAGTACACACACATATGTGACCCTGGAGCGCAAACCCAGTCTTAAGTCGCTGGGGTATATTTATAGCAATAGCCAAAAATACATTGTATGGGTCAAAATTATCGATTTTCTTTTATGCCAAAAATAATTAGGATATTAAGTAAAGATCATGTTCCATGAAGATATTTTGTAAATTTCTTACCGTGAATATATCAAAACTTAATTTTTGATTAGTAATATGCATTGCTAAGGACTTCATTTGGACAGCTTTAAAGGCGATTTTCTCAATATTTAGATTTCTTTGCACCCTCAGATTCCAGATTTTCAAATAGTTGTATCTCGGCCAAATATTGTCCTATCCTAACAAACCATATATCAATGGAAAGCTTATTTATTTAGCTTTGATGTATAATTATGTATAACTGTAAGATGATGTATAAATCTCAATTTCAAAAAATGTACGCTTATGACTGGTTTTGTGGTCCAGGGTCACATATATTATGTAAACAAAAACTTTCATTTTGGATGCGATTAATCGCGATTAATTGTTAAATTAAATTATATTAATTAATTAAAGGAATTAATAATAATTATATAAATGAAGATGGGATGGGTTTTCTATCAACATCATGCACTGTCAGAAAAAAAAAGTGCAAAAACTTTTAGGGGTACAACAGCTTGTCACTGGGGCAGTACCCTCAAAGGGACACCTTCGTACGTTCTTTACCCCTGAAGGGTGCATATTGGCACCTTAGAGTAGTAACATGTGCCATTAAGGTAGTAATATGTACTGGTAGTATTAAGAACCTTTTATGGGGTAAAGATGGTACAGACAAGCTGCTGTACCCCTAAAGGTAAATTTTTTTCTGACAGTGTGTCTCAAATACTGCCCACAGAAATCAAATTGTTTTGAACCCAGGAGATTAAAAAAATACATAAATGCACCATAAAAATGCATAAAAATTCTTGTTCCGTCAGAAGCACCTTGTGCGAACCAAAAAAATCTCAATCCTCTCTGTGCACTGTTGCTCGGAGACAGCATGTTTTGCTGCAAGTCATTTGCTGTAAGGGCTGCAATCACAGTTATTCAAAGCGGCTCTAAAAAGCCCCGGTGTCTGACTCATTTGAGTACTATTGAGTACTATAGAATACTAAATGATTCACAAGAACTTTTTGCGCACGTCCACCTACCTGCCCAGCAAGCATCTCGTAGAGGAGCACACCGTACGCCCACCAGTCCACTGATTTCCCGTACGGCTGATAGGCGATTATCTGGAGGAAGAGGAAATGTATGACAGTGTAAATCTGGAAGCCAACACAATGGTTTTTGGACTCCTTGAAGTATCCCATAAACACCACGGTACATTTTTGATATTCATCGACCATATGACATTGTCACTGCGCTATGGAACTGCACTACGGGAGAATTTTTCCCCAAAATGTAACAGCTAAGTTTGAAGTGTAAAGAACCAAACATCTGCTGCTCAGACCAGTCATCTAGAGAACTGTATGTGTAAAAATACAAGCTTCCCTGCGTTTCTAAAAATAACATCCCATCTGCAGTAATATAAAGGCTGGTGTGTGATTGGCTGGGGGACTGGAGGGTTTGAATAAAGTCAGGACAGATGAAGAGGTGGAAGGGCTGCTTATGGATGAATAAATGATTGTGTCAGGACACGGACGTGCTGGAGTTTCTAATGCAGAAGCTGAGATGATGGAGTCACGCTGACCTTCTTTAGGTTCAGAATACACTCAAGGCTCTGAAGACACACTGGTGGGAGGGCAGCATTTTTAGTAGTGTGTGTGTTGTCTGCAACCCTTATAATTATTCTACATTTCTATAATTGTATTTAGAGCTTTTCCTTTGTTGTGCGAGTTAAATAAATGCATGTAATTTCTGGTTTTATATAAATCATGGCTGGCAATGAATGTTTTCTAGACTCTTTAAATGATTATACGGGTCACTGATCAGACCTGAGGAGATCAATAAGTGAGGAATTAGATGAAGCAGGGAGCTGTCATGACACATGAGCTGAAGACTTCAAGACGACACTTGAAAGGAAGGACTCAAAGGGTCATAAGCAATCTGCAAGCTATGTGCAATGTAAAGAGATCAAAGTTTCCTCAAATCCTTCACACACACACACACACACACACATTCTGTATCAAAGCACCCAATCCTGTCCTGAGAACCAAACCGCCTCGTTCGTTTTAAAAGCTATCTATGATATATGAGGATCCTGCCAGGAATACATCATGTTTATGTTTGCTTTCTCTCTTCCCACCTACAATATGCTTTTCACACAGTGCATCTCCTTTTGTGTCATAACGCATGACGTTTCTGCAACCCACACTGCTCTGCAGCTTGATCCCCCCTCACACACACATGCTCACACACACGCTCACACACATACACAAGATATCAAGCTGCCACATGCTTCAGTGGAAATGTCACGCCGCTAATCAACAGGTCAATATCACTGTGGGCTTTGCAAAGAGAGCAAATTAAAATGTGGCTATTAGCTAAAACGTTTATGCTTAAATACATATGAAAAAAAATAAATGAACTCTTTATTCATTATTTATTATAGATTGCAAAGTAATTCGATACTGATTAAAATGAAACATAAATTAAAAGGGTGATTTCAGACTGACTAACATGACAAACTACTCAATTTGACAACTTATCGGAAAGGCAGTTTGGAAATAGTAAAGAATTCTATAATGAATTAAAGGCAATTAAATAAAAAAATAACTAGTGAAATTAGTTTTATTAAATATTACATTTTTAATAAACAATTCAAATCTACAATATATTCCATGTATATATATATATATATCAACGTTTAATTATTTAAAATATTTATAAAACCATATATATTTTAAAAAAATGGGCAGTTTTTGTATCTGACAAAATGGGCTGGTTTCACATAAGAATGATAAAATTCATAGGCATGTGTAGAAAAATGGGCTGCATTGTATGTACAATTACAGTGCCACATTATTGTTTAATAAAGACTTACATTGCCCTCCACTAATACTGGCACCTTTGGTAAATCTGAGCAAATGCAGCTGTGAAAAAAAATCTGCATTGCTTATCCTTTTGATCTTTCATTCAAAAAAATCTGAAAATTCTAACCTATCATTGAAGTAAAACAATTGGGGAGAAAATCTCATGATGAAATAATTGTTTTTTTTCCCAATGCATGATGGCCACAATTATTGGCACCCCTAGACATTCTTATGAGTAAAATATTTCTGAAGTATATTCCCATTCATATTTAAATTTTTAGCACACTAGGGTGACTAGAAGAATGAAATTGTCCAGCCATGACTTCCTATTCCACAGGATTATAAATATGAGGAACACAAAGGCCAAATTCCCTTAATCATCCATCACAAGGAGTAAAACCAAAGAATATAGTTCTGATGTGCAGAACAAGATTGTTGAGCTTCACAAAATAGAAAGTGGTTGTAAGAAAAGAGCTGAAGCATTGAAAATCCCCATTTCCACCATCAGGGCAATAACTAAGAGATTCCAATCAACTAGAGATGTTACAGAGGACGTGTGTCTATATCGTCCTAATCCACAGTGAGGAGGAGAGTTTGAGGGGCCAAAGACTCTCCAAGGATCACAGCTGGAGAATTGCAGTGATTAGTTGAGTCTTGGGGAAAGAAAGCTTAAAAAAATATCAAACAGCCACATGTTGTTCGGGATGGGTTTCAAGAAAAATTCTCCTCGCTCATCCAAAAACAAACTCCAGCATGTTCAGTTGTCAGACAAGACTGGAACTTCAAAAGGTACTGGCTTCTATGGTCAGATGAAACTAAAAAAAGAGCTTTTTGGCAGCAAACCCACCAGATGGGCTTAGTACAAACAGGGGAAAAAAGTACCCCATGCCCATGGTTAAATATACTGCTGTATCTTTAATGTTATGGGCCTGTTTTTCTGCCGGAGGTCCTGGGCATCTTGTTCAGATGCATGGCATCGTGGATTCTATCAAATACCAACAGATAAAAAATCTAAACCTGACTGCCTCTGTTAGAAATCTCATAATGGTTGGATGGATCTTCCATCAGGACAATAATCCCAAACAAACATCAAAATCAACACAAAAATGGGTCACTAACACAAAATGAAGCTTCTACCATGACCGTCGCAGTCCTCTGACCTGAACCCTATAGAAAATTAGTGGGGTGAACTGAAGAGAAGACGCACCAACATGGAGCTGGGAATCTGAAGGATCTGGAGAGATGCTGGATGAAGGAATGGTCTCTGATCTCTTATCAAGAGTTCTCCAAACTCTTCAGGCATTATAGGAGAAAACTCAAGAGCTGTTATCTTGGGAGAAGGACGTTGCAATGATTGGGTGCCAATAATTGTGGCCAACATGAACTAGAGAAAGATCCCCCCCCCCACTTTCAATTGTTTTACTTCAATGATAGGTTAGA